TATGCAGTGAGGGGGGTGTTGAAGGATAAGCATTATCCTTTAGGAGATTTTTTTGACTTAGGACTCTGCATGGAGAAATACAAGTCCTACTAGGATTGTGCCACGGGAAACTTATAAAAGCTCACAATCATCACCTTGGAGGAGGTAATTGAACATAATTCTTTCTGAGAGCATAAAACTTTGTCTATTTGTCAAGCTTACTGACTTAGGCATCGGAGAGGTTTCCGGCACACACCCGCCGGCTAGTTTACGTTTGTGTTTTCAGGTAACAAAGCGACGTCGTACGGAGGAGCGTGAACTTGGTCAACAGGATTATACGAGGAGAATTATTTCCTCCCCGTACATATAGTATAGATACTTCATGCGAATAGTTGATAATTATAAAATAAAAGCACTTATCCTTCTTTTAACGTTAACTTATTTTTGGTTAGTTTTCTCTTATAAATTATAATAAAAAATCACATAAATATTTTGATATAAATTTTTAAAATAAAAAATTATAATCAATTTAAATAAATTGTACTATACAAGCCTTTAAGTATTACATAATACCACGTCAATAATTTTATAAATTAAAAATTCAAATTCAATCATTGATTCACAGGACTTATTAATTCAGATATTATCCATTACATATCTAAAACACATCATTAAAATTTAAAATTAACAATTTATAATTATTATATTAATTTATATTTTAAAATCTCTCTTAGTTATTTTATTAATTTAAAATAAATATAACATTCAGCACCGCTATGTCCATACAATTTGTTTCACCCAATGCACACAATTGAGATTCTGACCGGGAAAAAACCCCGTTTTAAGGTTACTTTTTGGTCAAAGTTTCAATTACATGCATACAAACGGAACAAATTGTGTGGATAAATCATTTCACTATAATATTGATGTGATTTTTTTTATAACTATTGACCGTGAAAGGATTGTGATCTGCCTTTATTTTATTGAATCTAAATTTGTATACAATAAATATACATTTCTAGAGAGGCTTTTCTTCAGCCTATTGTGTAAACTGGAGCGTACTGTTAGATCTGTAGAGCCTATCACAGGTTTTATTTTGATAGTCCGAACCGTTTAATATGTAGAGCTCGTCGAGTCTTTCATACATGCAAAACATCATGTTGATCAGATATCAGTAGCCCTTTGATTGGAACACATTTTTGTCAATGATAAGTATGATTTTTAAAAATAAATTGTTAACAAAAATGTGTTCTGATCAAGGGGTTACAGATATCCGATAAACATGATTTTTTGTAAGGATGAAATACTTGATGAGTTCTACATATTAACAGTTCGGATTATCAAAATGAAATCCATGGTATATCCCACAAACCTAACAATACACTTCCATCCCCACAGTATATTGGAGAAAAGTATCCCCTTATATTTAAACTTGAATAATATTAGGGATCATGAAAAAAATATCATGAAATGTATGATGAAAAGTTTTCATCTTTTGATTAGTGTGTGGTATTGTATTATATGTATAATTCAAAGGTAAAAAATCTTTCATGATCATTTTCATAATTCCTAACATTACTTTTTAAACTTTGACTTTATAAAAAAATATTAACATAGCATCATACTTTGGTATAAACTATTTGATTGGGATCCGAATTAATTCCAATCCAAACTAGTGAAGTCATAAAATCAAAGGGTACCTCGAGAGAGAGTGTGCATAAAGCTAGAAACCCTAGTGATATATATACCTAACGTTTCAAGCCGGAAACCCTGGAATATAAATATCCCCATCTCTCTCGCTCTCTCTAAATCTATGTTTTTTTCTATTATGTAATTCGTTTGTGCTTAATGTTGGGTGTCCCATCAACCATGAGAGGTGGACTAGTACTCTTCCGTCTTGAACCAGGGCAACACGGCTGACCCTTTTCTTTTTTCTCCATCGTTTTCTTCTAGAATTTTCTCGGGAAAAAAACAAATAAAGGCGGAAATAAAAAGGCTAGGTTTTGTCGTTTGTTGTTTTTGTTTCCTTTGATTTCGCAGATATGGGTAGCAGAGAGAAGAGTCTGCTGAGCTTTAATCTCCACCGTCCTCACCACCACCATCAACAACCACAACAAGGGAAGGTTCCCAAAGGGTGTTTGGCGATCAAGGTGGGCCAGGGTGATCAACAGCAGAGATTTGTAGTCCCTGTGATGTACTTCAATCACCCACTGTTCATGCAATTGTTGAAGGAGGCTGAGGAAGAGTATGGCTTTGATCAAAAGGGTACAATCACTATCCCTTGCCACGTGGAAGAGTTTCGCTACGTTCAGGCAATGATTGATCGAGAGCACCACCACCGTTATGGTGGTTGTTTTAAGGTTTGACCGATATCAGACAGTATCAATTAATATATTTGTAAATGTCAGTATCAAAAATTTGAAAACCCTAGATATAATACTTTAACACTTTTTGTTAGTTCATGTTTGAAAATGCATATTTGAGAAGTTTTAGTCCTTTTTTTGTGATTTTTCTAAATAATAATATGGCAAGGTAGTTATGGTGAGGTGAGGGTGAGGGTGATGGTAATGGTGAGGACTATTGTTGATGATGATGACGACAACAAAGTTTTTTGCAATTAGTGCTTTGAAACTAGATGATTCTATTTTTCCTTTTCTTCCATTTGTTTTTTTATTTCTTTTTAATTTTTCTTTTTCTTTTTTCTTTCTTTTTTTTTTGTGATAAATTTTGTTCTAATTTATTAAAGATGTGAATAGTTGGAAATTTAACGCTAATGGGATGGCTTAATTTAAGCCATCAAATTTGTTCATGTTCACAATCAATTCAAAGATCTACTTCTCTTCCATTGGAACAACAAAGAATCCAAAAATTTTGGTTTGTAGGATCCATTAACGATTCTACTTCCGTAATTCAATAATGTAATTATATAATTTTATTATATTTGTATTAAATGATTTGAATTAACAAAGCAGATTTCCGATGAATATCACGAGCCCAACAGTTTCGGATTGGACTTTTGCCCAAATTCTTAATCAAAGGCTACCTTTTTCCCCCACTTTAGTTGCAATACATTGATACTTAAATATACCAAAATGAGTCACAGAAATTGTAAAGTAGGTTGAGATTTATTTTTCATGTACTCCCCTTCATAATTGAGTTTAATCTCAACCTTTCATTGCATTTTCTTTGATCCATTCTATTTTCTTACTCATATAAATATGATGCACACAAAATATGGATAGCAATTTTCTCTTACCTCGCTCTTGTAGATGGAATTTTGTTCTTCCATCCTATTCTATCCTGCCCAACTCAATTATATCTATTAAATCTTTGTAATACAAAAATATTACACTCAATTGTCTTTTTCCTTTCCTTATCTCTCATAGTACAATATTTTTAACTCTAATCAATTATCAATAGTTATACGTAATATAGTTTTTCTCATTTTTTATTAGACCATCCTTCCTAACATTACAAAAATAACCTATTCCTACCAAACTGCCACCTTCTCCCCAATTCTTTCTGCCGCAAGGCAATACAAATTCATTCCTTCCCCATCCAAAAAAATAATACGTATTCTGATAATTAAAAAGCGAAAGTCAAAAATATCTCTCCACCAAAACAAAAAAGAGGCTATAAATAATTGAGATAAGTAATACCGAACAATTCCATAGACAATGATGTATATGACAATCTTTGGTTAAGTAGGAATGAATTCAGAGACGTATAATAAGCCAAATATAAGGAGCATATACTATGGTCCATCCTATCCGTTGGTTGTATTCAACCGAAAGCTACATGCAGTATTCTTTTGTCTCTGTTTTTCTTTTTATCTCTTCTCTCTTAAATACTCTGCTCTCCCACCCACCTCACCACCCTATATTTTAACGCCTAAAATAAAATAACTTTGACACATTTTTTTGTATAACCATGTACCAAAAATGGGGATAGAAAATCCCAATTCAATTTTTTATAGGGAACTAACTCCTCTTCAGTTTGGGCAGTCTAGTTTTCTGAGTTAGAACGTTCAATCCTTTTAAACTTAATGTTACCGCGATATAGGGTAAATCACTAATAGGTCCTAATAATTGGATTTAATTCTCATCAAATCCTATTGAAAATAAGTTTTAGTAAAATAGTCAAAAATAATTTTTTGTGATGATTTTTTGCACATGTCGCTAAAAATTGATTAGTGGTTTTTTTTTTGTTACGATTTTTATAAATTACCTCTAAAACTTATAATTAGTGACTTTTTGTGAAGAATTTTTTAAATTGTCGCTGAAAGTTAAAAATTAATGACTTTTTGTAACAATTTTTTAAAATTGTCCCTAAAACTTATAATTAGTGACATTTATTATGATAAATTTCAAACTTTTGTAAGTGTTCGATGAAAAATGCCATTAATTTTCACAGGACCTATTGGATAATAAATCTACTTATTAGGACTGACACGTAAGTCTCCCTTAGATCTATAAGAAAAAAAATTCAACTTAATATTTAATACGTTAACGAATGGGCAATTAAAATTGTTGATTTACAAAATGAGTCGTGACTTGTCCAGATTAGAGAAACCATTTTCTTTATGATATAATTATTAATGTGGGTTTAAATGATAAATCAACAATTATTGATTTAAGAAAAATACTTCATCCATAAAATTTTCTACCCCACAAATAAAGTGACTAAGACATAATAAAAGTTGTATACGTATTGAGTCAATTTTTAAAATTTTACTTGCCACCTCATTAATGAGGCATTGAGTGGTCCATGCATGGTGTTAGTAATTTGGTACCGCAATGAATTATGTTGGGTAGTAGGAGAGATGAGAGGATAGACACAGATGGTCAAAGGGTAGGTGACCTCCTCGTTAGGTAGGGGTTTTGTTTCCGTTGAGTTGAGACCGAGGGTTTTGCAGTTTTAGGGCACACCTGCCCTTATTTAGAGAAGTCTAAAAACATTAGAGACACTACATAAATAATGAATATTTCAAACCATTGAATAATCAATCCATTGTTTCTTCTTTCCATTCCAGAGATGATGCCACATGGCATACACAAAATTGAATTATTCTAAACCATCTCTCCACCCCTCCTCCTTTAGTCACAACCCCACATTGTCTAGGAAATACTCTTACCATCACTGAAGTTTTTAGGATGCAGGTTTCTCCTCCAAATCGTCTGTCAATGCGAGAATCTATAAGAATTTGCTAGCACATGCAACTTATCACAAGCTAAAAGTTGGCGGTATCGATAACATATGACAAACCAAAGTTGGAAACATTGCCAGATAAGCAATAAACACAGCTCCAGCCAGATAAAAAGTAGACATTTTCAGGAATTTCATTTCAAAAAAAATATTTGCGCTCAAACCCAAGTCAACTTTAGAATCTGCAGAGGGAATGAGCATTAAGAAATTCTTCAACATAAAACTGCCTCAACTGACTCACAACTGACTCAACTAACTCTATTCATTTGTACACAATTTTCTATCCCCAAACCCTAAAAAGGGAAAAAAAGAAAAACTCCAAATCTTTTGAATGCCATGAATTTTAATTGCTATCATTTGCCTAAGGCCTAAAAAACCTAATGTTGTCTTGTATTTGAGCTCCGAAGCGTCACGCCATGCAAAAATTTGGTATACCCAAGTAAACTAAGCTTTCCATTAGAGCTCTGAATCCAGTCTCTGAGAAGCGTATGGGCTGTTGGGCCCACATTCAATTCCTGCAACAGTAGAGACTATGATTACCAATAATTTTTTTAACATTGAAGGAATAAAATGAAACCAAAAAAAAAAAGCGCTAAGAAAGTTCTTTTTTTTTAAAGCCTCAGATGCAAAAATACCCTAGCCAATTCATCCACAGAGATAACCCGGTTACCCTCCCGCTCAAAATGCTCAAATGCAGTTGATGCAATCTGCTCCCACCCTTCAAGAGCCTCTAGTTGATATGTGCTAATTGCAGCTGCACAAAACTCATCGAAGTCCATCTTTCTGTAGGAGAGTGGTGCCATCTGAAATTAAAGATAAGCAGCAAATTCAGGAACTGTATTTTTGACAAACTGTGATGTCAACATGAAACTGCCAAATTTTCTTATTCACAAGTGTTGTTCCTAATTTAAAATTTTATTTAAATTATTACTAATTTATTTTTTACGGTTATCTATATTTCTCCACTTTCCTTTTTTCTCTCAACTTGTACTAAATATCTACAAGAGGTGGGTATTATCTGTTGTGATCCACTATTGATTATGTCATTATTTTCCTCCGTTTAGTTGGACACTTGGTTAGGCAAATGCAAACAAGTGCCCCCTAGGCATTGCTTAATGTTGAAAAGTGTGCAAAAAGTTTCTTGAAAATATGTAAAAATGTTACAAAAGTATAGTGATTCAATAAAAGTGCATTGAATTTAATAAAAGGTGTCTTGTATTCTTCAATTTTTTGTCTTTTACTATGAACACTTGTTAGTAAAACCCTTTATTATATACATATTTTTCTGAGATACAAAGGATACAAAACTCTTTCATACTCTTACCTTCTTTATTCACTAAATTTTCAAAACCCTAAAGTCAGTCACATATTACCAACTCTTAGTTCATCCAATTTTTACATTTTTGAGTGTTCGGCACAACACAGTAAACACCAATCAACCCAATTCAGAAGTTGGATGAACAAAGTGGGCACCATAGAGTGCAATGAGGACGTCACCTATTTGATTGGGGGAGATTGTGTTAAACGGCTAGTACTACCAACTTTGGCTTAAGTTTTTTGGTCATGTTGGTAGACCCATTCTATTCAAGTTGTTAAAACCTTGTAATAAAAACAACATTCATCAATCAATAAATAATACATACAATTTATTCTCTCTCTTTCTCTATACATTATTTCTAACACAAGTTGCTGGACCAATAGGCTATTCAACTTGCTGACAGTTAAATTATGGAAAACTTTAGCATGTACATACACAAAAGACATCTTAAATCTAAAATAAATATCAAACATACTAATCAATACTTTCTATTTAAAAATAATAATCTCATATGCCTTACCGCATTTAGAATGTCAGGAACCCTTGACTCCTTCATTGCATCAGTTGTATTGCGCACAAGAGCCTGGAAATTTAGTTAAATTCTTTGTTAACCATAATCCCAACTGTATACAAAAGAAAAAGGGTGACAAATGGCTAAAAGAAAGCATACAATGATATCTTGTGCTATTATGACCATGTCATTTTCATTAATAGAATGAAGGATTCCTAGAAATGATATACCAACTCTTAACTTCAAAGATAAACCAGAAAGAAAAAAAACTAACCATTTTGAAGTTATCAACAGAAATGCGTCCATCTTTATTAGGTTCCAAAAGCCTAAATTGAGCTCTAAGATAAGATAATTCATCCTCTGTTAAAGCTTTTGAAAGAGCCTGCAAACAAAAAACAATAACAAAGATCAGAATACCTAATCAATAAATCACAATGTCATGACAAAGTAAGTCTTTCAATTTTTAAGTCTTTCAATTTATCCTCCTTTTTTTTTTCTTTTTTTTCTTTTTTTTTGCAATAGACAATGTGGTTCAAACCCTGGCTCTCGTTTCATGGAGTAGCCCACAAGGAACCACTAGGGCCCAAGACAACCGTTCATATAATTGAGATGTTCCAAGTGTAAAAATCTATTAGTTGATTGCCAAGAAGAGCGTGGAACATATTACAAGGTTGATGATGTGATTCACATGATCAATTCTCAAGTGAAATTTACAGTTTAGAGATCTAAGTTTATAACTCTAACTAATCTCGGGAATTAAATACCGTTCCTGCCGAAATGAGCATCTGGCTTTCAATTGTTAACCAGGAATTCTAAATTTTGGTCTATAGTTCATTGGACGTGCACTGAAATTTGCATAGATAAATGAAGGATAGTAACTGTAGTTTTATAAACAACATAAAAATCAAGTCAAACTATGTGTTTTGAGACCTCAAGCATCAACAGAGAATTTTATCACCCCACAATATGAAATCATTTTCATTTTGTTTTGCATAGCAGTTGAATGCACATATTCAGCCTCCAGAATAAAGTCATAATGTAAAATAGAACCAACATAGAAGGATCGTAAAAACTAGAAAAATCTTGTCTGCAAACTGAGGACAACAATCTAAATTCAAATACAAGTAGATTCATTGCTTGGTTATGCAGAATGAAAAAAAATGCAATCCAAGTGCCCATAAAATACAAGTGCCAGTAAAATGAGACCAATTTTGTGGACAATCAAAAGTGCCAAAACTGAAATGATAATTCTTCATTGTGTAATGGTGAGCATTAAAAAACTAAAGGCTAACCAGAAAAATACAATATGAACAGCAAGAGGGCCAATGTAGAAACCAAAGTAGAATTGGATGAGACTGGTTGTACTCCATACATATCAGAGCCGTGATCAGCAACTGGGATACTGATTCTCCGGTTACAGAAATATAATGCTGACATTGAGTAGCCAGAATTTTAAGAGTCCGAGGATAGCACACTGCAGGAGTGGGTGTTTTGTGCCCATTCCACCATGTCAAATTTAGCATTGTGCCAAATTTTAGCATGATGAATATTTGACCATTGGCTTCTTTAAATTTACTACATTGCCCCCACAAAAATCTTCATGTATTTTATTTTCTATTATATATATAAATTCGATAAATGTATTACCTTTTTAAGAAAACACCAACCATCATATCCAAGTAAATTTAATTCAAAATATAACTTGAAGGCATTCCAAATACATAGAACCTACTTGTTCGCCAACTTTTCTCCCATACATGTTCAGTAAGATCATTAAGAAAAGTATATGGAATTCATAAGATTGAAGCATATGGTGAAAAACACGTTTTGAAGGAGTAGATAGTGGAAAACAATTTCAACTTATAAAGAGGGAAAAAACAAACACTAGTCTAATACCAACATGTCATGTATAGTAAAATTAATTGTAAAATAATAATTTTTCAGCTATGAAAAATGACAAGATAGTACCTTTAGGGCTGCACGTTTGAAAGGTGTAGCATGAAGGTATGACTTGACTAACTTATAGATCAATATATCTAAAGGAATATGATGATTTTCACTCCGCAACCATGGGTGATCTGCAATGACAAAAATGTACATCAGTCTAAGAACAAAAAAGAAGAAATATGCATTATCATTATTAATGCCTAACATAAAATGAGTTTACCATTATGCCTTGACCTAATAAGAAAAATGACTGCTCCAAAAGCATTTTATTGCTTGAATAAAAAGCATGGACATGCGACACGACACGGATATGACACGGACATGACACGGACATGCTAATTTTCAAAAAAATGCGGACATGCACGAAATATATAATTTTATATATTTATTGTATGTCATATATATGAATATATCATTCAAAGATAATAAAAAAAAAAATGTAATATAACACTTATTTTATAAATTTACATTGTTTTTTTTTTATTATTGTACCCCAAGTTATTCAGTTCAAACTTATAACTAGATTCATGTGTCTAATCGGTGGACACGTGTGTTTAAAAAATAGACACGAGTGTCCGGGTTTAAAAACTTTTTTAAAAATAGGACACATTTTGACGAGTGTTTTGGGACGTGTACAACGAGTGTCGGTATCCGACACGGATACGCCACCTTCTTAGAAGTGCCCATGCTTCTATAGCATATAGAAAATCATTTTGATTCAACAAAATAATAACTAGAACCCGAAACTTACTCAGAGCTTGAGCGGCAGTCATCCTTTTCCTGTAATCCTTGTTCAAAAGCCTTTTCACAAAATCTTTTGCTTCTGCTGAGACGGAAGGCCAAGGTAAATCATCGAAGTTAGGGTCTGCTCTTAGCACTGCACGAAAAATTCCTGATTCTGTTCTCGCCCAGAATGGTCTGCTACCACATAACAAGATATAAGTGATAACACCAACGCTCCAAATATCTGCTTCAAGACTATAGGATCTATGAAGGACTTCTGGTGCTACATAGTATGCACTTCCGACAATATCATTCAGCCTTTCCTCTGCATAAACATTCATAAAACACAAACATGTTATGAATTCAATGCTCAACTTAAGTGATATTGACTATTATTTATATTAAGGTGCAAGCCCTGTAGGAGAGTAGATAAGGACATCCACCTCTCTAAAGATTAGACTTGAGGTGTGTTAGGTTTGGCACTTAGAAAACCATTGTTGGGTATTCACCATTGTGTGAATACAAATACGCTTCTCTTTTTCAAAGTAAAAAGAAGCATATGTCTCGTTATCATCCCGCATTGGGTGTGAGCCGTTTAGGTGAGGGTAGATAAGATAAGGTCATCCACCTCTTTAAAGGTTAGACTACTCCTTTGGGGTGTGTGGTGCATTTGACCCTTACAAAAACCTCATTGGGTATACCCCTGTTGTGCAAGTACAAATCCCTTTCCTCTTGTTCAAAAGCTTATGAATAGTTGATAAACAAGCCAGTTATTTGTAAAGCACACCAAACAATATAGTGCATTTGTTAGCTCATTCAAGCACATACACTGGCTAAACAAGGCTAGTGTGATGTGACCAATATCACAGTCAATTAGATGAGGCCAAGTGAATGTTGGAGGCAGCATCATGCTATTATATAGCAGAATAGGATGGAAAGGAACATACTGACAGAAAGCAATCTAGATAGAAACGATGAGATAACAACAATGAGGTATGATAAGAACTCATCACCTTTTCAAATTATGTGACGAGAATTAAATTGCATTGATAGAGGTACGAGTGATTAACTGATATTGGTGAAGATGCATGATTAAGATAATGAACAAACTAAGAATGATCTGCAGCTAATACCTGGTCTGATGAAGTCAGAAAGGCCAAAATCAATAAGCCTCATATCAGCATCTTCATTTCTAGAGGTGAAAAGGAAATTCTGTAACACACGCAATTACAAAAAGCATTAATAATGAAGTTTATGGAAGGAATGATTACTGAATGCAATGAAAAATAGTTTTTCTATTCGGGAAGGGGACAAAATATTTAATACAGAGATGTCAAGTTCAAGATGCAATAACCTCAGGCTTCAAGTCACGGTGCACAACACCTTGAAGATGACAAAATGCAACCACACTTAAAATTTGCACAACAATAAGTTTTGCATCCTCTTCAATGTATCTACCACCTCTATAGCCAAGGAAAAGCATGTAATAAGTTCAAATTAGATCTACCAAGAATTATTTATAATAAATAAAACAAAATAAAAAAGATCTACCAAGAATAAAATAATTTTCAGAACAATATTCCCCTTTACCTTGACAATATTTTGTCAAGTAGTTCTCCACCTTCACACAATCTGGTAAGATAAACCAAATAAAAGCTTCATCAAACCCAAACAAACTTCAAGAAGAAAAAAAATTCAAAAAAAGTCGATATGAAGCTATGAAGGGAATTTTAAATTAGAACATCTGAGCAATAAATCATAGACAAACATCAACATAACTGATGGCAGCCAGCAATTCCAATATTTTCAGGAAGAGGGAAATTTTCATTATAAAAGACGCACTATAAGGAGTTGAAGAAAGAAAGAGCAATATCCTGAAAATTATGAGGGTTTATCAAAACTACTTTATTTCAATTAATTAATCATGCAGTCATCCTTATCTACAAAGCATTATGTTTTAAGATAACATAGAAGGAAAAAATGGTTGATAAATTGTCAATGCATATACATTAACAAACATAGAACAATATAAAGAATTTGACTACACTGAGCCAATTTTCTAGGAACAGGCTCCACAAGAAAACAATAGAGGCAATAAAGAACATACTCCATGACTATGTACACGTTGTTGGCATCCTCACATGCATCATAGAATCTGACCAGGTGCTTATGCCCTGATAAAGCTTTCAATATTTTAACTTCTCTACGAACATCTTCAATCGATATTGCTGTTGTCATCTGCCAAATAAAACTTGTTCAGATACATATATTGCTTTATTGACGCATTACAAGGTAAACCAAATGTGAAGGTAACAAACTCCTCAAACTTAACAGAAAGAAGAAGAATACATGAATATGAAATTTTCAAAGAATTTCTGTTGATATCATTATTTCGTAACAAATAATTTCTTTCTTCCTTTTAGCTTCAAAATCAATTTATCTCTAGGAAAGAGGATAGAGTAAGTTGAATCTTACAACCAATGACCAGATTACCAAATACACAGGAAGCAGATTGACATTCTATCAGTGCTTCATTCATAAAATTTGGAAATATGTGACTGGAATGAATTCAAATTCTGCATGAAAGACAAGCCTTGCCAGATTTTCAATATGTGATGCTCAAGTGTTAAATGATGTTTCTTTGTTGTTGTTGTTGTTTGTATAAGAACTTGCATTTAATGTTGCTCTCATAGCAATATTTCACTTTGGCAGTACACAACAAATCACTGGGAATGTATTGTTAATGCCTCAATGGTTGATTTGATAACAAAGATGAAAGATAAAAAATGAAATACGAGTGTGTATGGCATGTTACATCTGACAGTATTAATCAGAAAACCACCAAGGTATCTTATAACTTAATCAACTACAATCAAAAAAAAAAAAAAAACTACAATCAACACAATATTTTGACAATTATTTAAAGTTAACTTTTATTAACCTTCCAGAGTAATATGACTTGTAGTGATCCAAGGTAATCTCTACTGCTTTCATAACTTAGTTTGTAGTTGAAAAGATGCTACCTTACAAATGTTACAAACAATGAGCCAAATGGAAAAGATTGAAGAATTAGAAGTATAGGTTCAATTAAACAAAAGGCAATGACAAAACTAACAATAAAAATAAAAAATAAAAATTTAAATGATAAGATAAAAGCATATTTTCAATTTAGCATAGGCCATGGTTCGTATCAGAGCCTCAAGCTGTATTCTAATTGAATTTCCTCCCATACTCATAGTGCTATGAATAAAATCAATCAATCGAGACTAGTGCAGTCAGTCTTTTCACATACGGTTAAATTATCTTTTTGCGTCTTAACATCAACTGGTGCTTGAATGATCCATCCCCTTATCTCTTATTATGTTGTTAACATCACCCATTTCAACATTGTCATTTCACCTAAACCCACTTCACTTGTAAGTTCTCAGTTGATAATTCAGTACTCTAAAAAAGCATGATTAACCTCATAAAACTCCATTCATCCCACTCTAAGCTTGGAACTTATAACCAACAATGCAACACATTCCCCAATCTCCCTGTCCTTATAACTAGCCGGATAATCAAAACATCAACTTTCAATAATCTGTCGGTCAACAAATTTCACAAATCCCCTCGATCATAGTTTAGCTAGTTATCTTTTCACTTATCAAGGGACCCTAAACTCTAAAGCAACGTTGGGTAGTTCTCATCATCATAGAGTTCACTCAACCCCAATTCAAGTGCATATCAAACAAATACACTTGGAACTTCATCCTAAATATGCCAATCCTTTTAATACTTGCCAGGAGATGATGGAACTACTGCTGAAAGTAAGCCTACTACTATTACTATGGAAAAGCCTCTGATACCATAACCTTATGGTTCTCACATTAGCTACTGCACACCAAACTTTATGAGACTTTCCTTTTAATAACCCACCCCACTTCTTCAACAAACTGATAAAATGATTTTGACGAGCCAAAACACCATATGAAGCTCATTCTTCTTGTACTTCGCTAACCTTAACACCTGCACCTCCACAAGAAAATAACTTTCGTAGTGTATCACTCTAGTGCCACAGGTTTTCAACAATCCAATGTATCACCAATAAGGCCTCGTTTGGGAACAGGCTAATGTAGTAACTTTTTGGCTATTTGGGTAAAATATGAGCTAAAAAAAACTAGTATGTTTGGGATGACTTTTTGGCTTTTTACGAAAAGATGTGCAAAAAGTAGAAAGAAAAGAGAATCTTTGACTTTTTGGTATGAGTTGTTGGCTTTTTGACTTTTTTTAGTAACTTTTTGACTTTTTGACTTTTTGACTAAACCAGCCTGTTGCCAAACGAGGCCTAAGTTTGAATTCACAATAACAGATGCAATCAAGACTTCAAACCACGGCTGTGGTCATGGATGAAGTGCGTTAGAACACAGGTGTAACCAACATTACATAATAGGATGTGGATAGCAATTATGCATTATTAAATGCTCCATCACATAGTAAAGATATGCATGTTGTAACCCCAAATCCGCATAGATTATTATTTTTAATTTTTGTCCCTTCTTTTTTTAGTGAACTTCATTCAACCTAAAAAACTGACTTCGTGAAAGTAATAATATTGGTATTGGGTTTTGTGTCATTATAAATGTACAATAATATTTTTGTTCCTGTGAAAATAATATCTTTGTTCTAATTTTGAGCACTTTGCAGCCATAGATTCAATAAAGCGATTAATAAGAAAGTTATGCTTTTGTAAAAAAAAAAAAAAAAAAATTGAACTTCGTATGCTCGAAATTTAATAGGTATCCACCCTGTAATCTCCTTTTGATGTTTGGTCATTCTTGATTACTTTTTCCAATTTTTTTGATTTTTTGTCAAAATTGGGTGATTTTTCGAAAGTTCCTATTGGAATCCTTTTTGATTGGTTTTGTCCCTTTCTCTCACTTCTATGGGAACAGACTGGAACCTTTAAAACATAAAAAATGGGTTATAACGCCCATAAAAATGTGCTACTAGCCAGCAACATGATTAATTTAAATAAATAAATAGAGAGAGAGAGAGAGAGAGAGAGAGAGAGAGAGAGAAGAAAAAAAACTACATATTATTGAATATCTAATTATTAAAAAAACATTATTCTAGAAGTACCTTAAAAATTTTATAGTAAAATTTATACTAGTCCAACACTATCGTACCACATTTTAGAGCATGTGATGTATACATTCCATTCTCGTTCCATGTACCAGAAAGATCCATGTTCTGTGTAACATAGCATCCACTATCAAATACGTGTGCATGTCAACCCTTTCATTCTTTCCATCATGTTAACAAGCATGTGTGTCAAACATAGCGACCGGCCATAATTACAATACATTATGCTGCGTTTTAGATCTATCATATCCCCCCGCCCCCCCGCACCACCCCCCTGGCACATGTTTTTTTTAGTCATTTAGAGAATATAAATATCATAAGGAACAATGGAAGACAAGTGAAATGATTATTGTTTTTAATTCCCATGATGGACTTTAAATAACTAAACAACAAACTAGGAAGTTTTAATTTTCAAACATACACAACGTGTGAAATGACACGAACTTTAAATGAACTTGTTGCTTTAATCACCTTGACATTCAAACATAAAGACAATGTCATAATTACATTGCATTCTAAATTTATTAACCTCTTCATGTCAGATATCTCATATTTGTAACAGACAATTTCAGCCATGCAAGCTTTCCTACAAAAGGGGAATTTTTACGTAGACTTGCAATAATTATATTTATCCTCCCTAGAGAAACCAAGTAAGCTACAAGATACGATTTCTTTGGTGGGTTCGACTTCTTAGTGACTCTTTTATGCCTTCTAAAGGCATAACTCTATAAAAGATGCATAAGGCTTAAGCTAGAAATAACTGAAATCTCAAAAAATAAAATAAAATAAAATAAAATACACGACCTCATATAAACAAATATCTCCTTCAACGAACATTATAACAAAACAAAAGTCAACAACTAGAAATGCAAATATTATCTAAAGAAAGCTGCTCCATTCAGTTTATAGAAATTGTGGGGACTAAAATTCACTTAGTGTTACATGGGTCCAAGCTCGAACACGTTGCGTAATTCTCTATCCAGATGCTTAGCTCAGATTATTTGCTTGGGAGCTAGGCACGTAGCTCAGACAGCTAGGAGCTAGCTCACAGCTTGGGAGCTAAGCACATGGCTCGAAGCTAGGCGCTCAGCCCTGCTCGGACATACTATTGAGGCAATCAGCTAGGCCACTTAATTAGGCCATTCTGGTGCAGATAATCAAGGAGCATTTCAACAAATAATTCAGATAATACCCATTACCTTAAGGTATTGGGGCCACTATCCCACTAAAAGTCAAACAACTATCTCAAGTAAGTTATTTTATGCTCTATATAAAGAACATACCTATAAAGGTTCAGGTACACAATAACATAATTTTGTATACATAGTCATTTTACTTTTAACATTCCTTCATTGAAATTGTTCTAACTTAGGCATCGGGATGCCTGTCCAGAGTAGCCTGACAGAGCACCAACAGCGCTCTATTTTTGCAGATTTATGGGCGTTGGTCATCTCTTCTATGATTTCTTCAACAATAGTGTGGGTCCATTTTTTTACCCACACAAAAACGCTAGGAGATTTTGGAGATCGATGAATTAAAATTTATAAGGTGATAGGATATAATCCCATGTACTGCCTTTTGAATCACAAACTTGAAGTAGACCTAGGCCCATTGGGTAAAAATTATTTACAACCAAAAAATTAGGGTGTTTGGCAAAACATTGCAAGATTTTAGCTTCTTCTTCTTTCAACTCAAAACAAGCTGAAAAAATTAGCTTTAAAAATAAATTAAATAATAATCTGATTGGACATTTTTTTAAATTGCAAATAAATTTTGCCAAACAGATGCATCCAATTTCCAAACCACATTACCAAATCTATGCTCTTTTTTTTTTTTTTTTTTTTTTCTCTCTCTCTCTACTATCAGTTGCATCTAATAGGCCTCTCTCTGTACTAATATATATATATATATATATAAAAGGTTAGGGGTTGACAACATAACGCGACCTAACACCACTACCGCAGATTCAGGATAACTCAGATTCCCCCAACCAAAACAAAAAATCTCTCTGATCCACCAATTTTAGTTGGAAATTCCACCGATTCAATTCCATTTCACTTCAATTAAAAATTAAAAAAAAAAAGTTAACAACAACAAGCTAAATAGATGCCTTGACCAAACTGCAAACACTGTAAAAATAAGTAAAGACATACATGAATTGATTAACATGAGGTTTTCTTTTGTTAATAAAATAAAATAAAAGATCAAACCTTGGCTTTGGAGATGATTTTGACAGCAAGGGGTAGGTCTCTGAGCTCACCCTTCCTGCCCTTGGCTTGGCAAGTATGACCGAAATGCCCTCGACCCACCTCCTTCCCCAATTCATACTTGGCTCCGAAATTCTTATTGTAACCGAAGTTCTTATCCAGCGATTGATCAGGCTCCTCCGCCGCAGCACCATCCTCCGGGATCGGGCCCTCCCTTGGCCTCGCGTGCCCGAACCGCCTCGCCAGCGAAGCCTTGATGTGCTTCGCCGGCGACGGAGGCGGGAACGGCCGCTTAAAGAACCTCCGCGGCGTCGACCTCGCCGGCGACGGAGATACTCCCGCCGGAAGAGGACTGGCGCCGCCGTGAGGGTACGGACTCGGCCACGTACTCGTCGCCGAGGATCGAGATGGCGTGTTTTTCACGGAGTGCACGCCGTTGCTAGCGGAGGACCTCCCCGGAGTGGGCGGAGGTGGATCTCCTCCACCGGCGACGGTGATGGTGGTGGTGCCGTCGTTGTCGGCGGTGGGAATGGTCTTGCCATAGCACTGGCCCATGGAAGGGGTTTAGTGAGGAGTCGCGAATAAGTGTGTGATCGCGACCAGGTCAAAGTTTACTACAGTCAAAGCATCTCAGGGTGAATCAGGCAGCGTACGGATCTGTAGATTAGCGCCGGAGAGAGACAGAGAGAGAGAATGAGGAGAGAGAGAGACAGAGAGAGAGAAAGAGAGATGGGAAGAGATCTACGGCGAGAAAACGATAAAAAAAGAGAATGAGAAGAATTTAGTCAGACAGTGTATGGGACACAGAAAAAAAACAAAAAAAAAAGAGAGAAAGAGAATACATATACATACATGAACAAATATATAGATATAGGGACACACGGTCTGGCAAGAAACAAACAGAAAGCGAGAGAGAGAGGGGCTTCCTTTTGCATATTGTTTTTTTTTTTTAATTATAAAAAGATAAAATAAATTAAAAAATTAATAAAATAAAATATTATATTTAAAGTATAATTATTTTTTTTTCTTATAATAATTAAATATTCAAAAATTTATTCCAAACGAAATTAAAATAATCAAAAAAAAAAAAAAACTAAAAAATCAACCCATATTCAAACGAATGCAGAGAGCTTATGGAAGATATCTGGGGAAGATGTTGAAATATGGGAAAATAAAAAATGCGGAATTCAGAATCCCAAGGCAAAGCGCGGGACTTTCGCTGTAGATAGAGAGGGAGAGCTATGGAAACTATTCAATAATTTGAGCCTCCGTTTGGGAAGTGGATTAGCTTTTTAGTTTTTTGATTTTTTTAATTATTTTAGTTTGGGTTTTTTTAAATTTTTTTGTGAGAGAAGAATGTAATGATTATGAATTTGATGTGATGTTTTGTTTGTTAGGATTAAAATAATCTATTTTGTTTTTTGTGGTTAAAATAGCCAAAAAAATCTGCAAACTCACTTACCAAACACAGGCTGAGAATATTACTCGTTCATATTTTCTAATTAATTTTTATTTAATATGTCTTTTTATATTTCTTAATCACCTAATATAATATTTCACTTATTCATCAATCACAATATTATGAAATATCATAGGTCTATACTCTCAAATTACTGAATAATTATCTAGAGGGCTAAACAACCCACTACCACATTACGAAGTGGTTTGGCAACGTAAGTAATATTTTACAAATTATTATATTATTTTTTTTAAAAAAAAATAAATTATCTATTCAATAATGGGGAAATTGGTTACAAATCCCGTCCCCATTAGATTAGTTTCATAATTTATATTTTTTTTTAATCAATAAGTTGCATTCATTGTCTACAGTTTCTCCTACGTTTAGACTTGATCTTTAACAGCACTTAATGAGGTCACGGTCTATTTAAAATGCAAAAAATATGATTTTTTAATTGATTTTTTAAAATATAATATATGAATCATTAAAATGCAATTTGTGATAGTAGTGCCATTATATCGTCAACTTCTCCTAAATCTATATTTAAACTTGAGACAACTCTACATATGAATCATTAAAATATAATTTGTGATAGTGTTATTAGATTTTCAATTTCTCTTAAATCTATATTTAAACTTTTGAAAACTCTATCCCTTGTTAATTTATATATTATTATAATTATAAAATATTATGAGAGAATTACAGGCCAAGTCTTTTAATCTAAATAAACTTAGGTCCCGTTTGACAAGTGTTCATTTTAATTAAAAAGTCAAAAAAATATTTTAAAAAAAAAATCTACATTTTTTACCTTCAAAACCTATAACTGTGCCATATTCAATGTAAAAAGACCTATATACCCCTCTCTTGATGTGTCTTATTTCGTGTTTTTCCCTCCTTTATGTCAACCATGATGGACTGCTATCAGCAATTAGAGAGGGTGTACTGCAATCAAAAGACATTTACCCCTCCTTTACCCCTTCTTTATGCCATTGAGGTGTAGTTTGTAAGTCTCCAACTAGATCACATAAAGAAAATAAAAATAATAAAATTTACAAACTAAAAAAAATAAAATCAATAATTTACAAGTAAAATAATGTAAAAAAATAATTACATGTATTTAAAAATTTTAAAAATTGCTTACAATATTGCCCACTTTAATTATGACAATCGACATTTTTAGAAAAATGTACTATCAAATGATAAGTTTTTACAATCTTTTTATTTTCAAGTACAATTATTATACTATAAAAAAAAAGTGAATTATTCATTACAAAATATTATTTTGCAACAGATGGAGTATATATTGATATATATATTTTCAAGTCAAAGTTTGTTTTTTGTTTGAAATTAAAAAAAAAAAAAAAAAAAAAAAAAAAAAAAAAAAAAAAAAAAAAGAGAAAACCAACGACCAACATGAAATAACCACTTGCAGGTTGGCAGCAATCTGCCACGTCACAAGCATGTCACGGGTTGAACACGCAAAGGGCAAAATTGTCAAGTTAGGAACTTTTACATTTTTATGTTATTTCATTTCATATCTTTTGAGAAAAATTAAAAAATTAATCTCAAACATACTACTAATTTTTTTATATCACATTTTAGTTAAAAAGTTATTAAAATAGCATATTGCCAAGCGAGACCTTAATTCCAGGTGCTTCTATTCATACACTATATTTTATCTCAAGGCAAACTATTACTCAAGACATACCATTAATAATTTGATAAATAAATATTTTACTCAAAACACACCACAATCTTTCATCTTTATCATTACTCACACACCCCACTCATAATCTACCCTGACTCTTTCATCTTTACCCTCACTCACTCACACACCCCACTCATAATCTACCCTCACTCTTCCATCTTTACCCTCACTCACTCATACACCCCACCCACCTATGATATTCCATCTCCCCCTTTATTCTCTGTTTAAACCAAGAAAGACCCATTGCTCAACACATTTTTTTTTCTCATCAAAGACGTCATCGTTGGTGCTCAACGCAGTTGGAAAGAAGTCCACATTTGAGATATAGTAGGTGAGTTCTCATTCGGCTTAGATTTTAGGATTTTATGCACTTTTTTCAATTGTCATGAAATTTGTTCAATTTTCGAACCGTTCGACACTAGAATTTCGAACCTCAACCATCTATACGGTCGATTACTGTTGAACAACATGTGTTTCGACACTTGAATTTCGAACAATATAATTGTGTCCGGTGTATTTATGTCGAACATGTTCGACATCTAGTGTCAAACCCTTTTGTGTAATTCGGATCTAGACCATCGAACAATAACAACATGTTCGATATTGTGCTGTCAAACAGGCTATTTTCTTTTTTTGTTCTTTTTTTCTTTCTGTCTTATTGATTTCTTTGTTGTGAATAGTAGTTAGTGGGCTAGATCAATTCCTCCGATGAAATGGAACAATCTTTGTGTGTTTACTATTATTATTATTTTTTTAAAAAAATAAATTAAACGACATCGTTCTGTTGTCACAACACGGTGCTATGACAGCACCTCCCCCGTTTCGAAACTTTTGGGGAGAGCATTAAAGATCTCATCGAAAACTTATGGTAGCTTGCCAAACAAAGGCTAAGAGAAAAAAAACAAAAGGCACAAATATAATTGGTACAACATTTGCAATTGGGTTAAAAAAAGCACATGTCTCGGGTAATTTAGCAAAAACAAAAACTACTCGAATAAAAAGCAGAATTAGTATAGATACAAATCCAACTAAAGATATTAAGCATTACAGACATTTTATTTTATTCACCAAAAACATGGGTATGAAAGTTTTGCACTAAGTTATTTGGGTTCAGCGAATTCGTCTTTATGGGTCTCAAGGCCTCCATATATTTCAAGTAGGCATTTCAAATAGATGCTCTAGGAAGATGCATAGCAATATTTTTGGGCGAAAGATTTGATACTTTAGTGGCACTACACTAGTGGCATATTTTTAGAAAATGCCACAAAAATGATATTTAGTGACACGTTTTTGAAAAATGCCACAAAATGACAAACATAAAAGGCTCTACTGACATTTCAATGAACAAGTGTCACAACACTACAACAAAAACATATTTTAGTGACACCATAGTAGTGGAATTTTCTTAAAAAATGTCACAAAAAGAATATTTGGTGGCATTTTTTAGAAAAATGTCATAGAGCCACAAACATACAAGGCTCTAGTGGCATTTCAATTAAAAAAAAGTGTCACTTCACTACAACAAAAATGTCACTACAACAAATTTACACTTTAGTGACACTACACTAGTAGCATGTTTTTAGAAAATGTCACAAAAATAAAAATTGGCATTAAATGTTTTAGAAAAATGCCATAAAATCACAAAACATATAAGGCTCTAGTGGCATTTCAATAAAGAAATGTCACATCAATTTTATGGCATTTTATAAAATAATGACACAAAAAATTATATTCGTGACATTTACCAACAGATGCCACTAAACTTTAGTTGCAATGGCATTTTTTAAAAAATGTCAGGATACTAGGTAAGTGCAAATTACTTTTTATGGCACTGAGGTGAAAAGTGTCATAAACAAATATTTTATAGCATTTTGAGAAATGCCACTAAGCCAAAAACTTTCCAAGCTTATAATGACATTTTTGAAAAAACAAAAAATGCCAATATATTTTCTAAATTTTTAAAATGCAGTAAATGATTAAAAATAAATGAATTAAACTCAATATACACTACAGGAAAAAGCATATTCGGCGACTAAATTTCCTGACCAAAAAAAATTTGGCGCTGAAAGTATAGCTTTCAGCGACCAAAACAGCATTAGTTGCCAAAAGTAAAGCTTTTTGGCGACTAAACAATTTTAGTAGCCAAAAGTCTACAATTGGCGACTAAAAAATAAGTTTAGTCGCCAAAAGTGGTCATTTTTAGTGCGGGAGAACTAAAATCCTAAGGTGGGAATAAAATTTTTTGGTAACCCAAATTTTGGTAGCTGAAAGTGCATCTTCGGCGACCAAATCCGATTTTGGTCGACAAAAGTTAAGTTTTTTAGCAACTAAAAAATAATTAGTAGCCAAAAGTATAAACGCCAAAAGTGGTCTTTTTTTTATTTTGGTAGTAAATAGTTTATTTTACATAAATTATGTTCAATAAAATAATTATGTTTATACAAATACTTTTATATTAATATGGATGTATTTACTATATAAATAATATATGTTGCATATATAATCATGTGGTGGTATAGAGGTGTAGTGGGAAGAGTGTGGTATATAAGGTTTATGGTGCGGAAGGTTGGCGGTTCGAGTCTCCGCAAGAGCGAATCAAATTGTTCTACAACGAATTATCGTCATGAATGGCACTTGATAGCGTCACGAATAGTGCTTACCATGACATTAAAGTGTCACTGAAAGGTTTAGTCTTGATGGTGTAATGACACTTATAAGTGTCACTAACTCTTTTTTTAATGGCGCTTGATAGTGCCACAAATAATATCTACCATAACATTAAAATGTCATTAAAAGTTTTCAGCCATGATGGTGCAGTGGCACTTGCAAGTATCTACCGTGGCACTCGTATCTACCGTGGCACCGATAGAGGTGGCACTTGTTCAAAATGCCACAAGACCAAAAAATGTCATTAGAAGAATAGTTTTGTGGCACTTTCAAATGTCACTAAACTAAGAAAATGTTGTAGTGACAGCACCTCCCCCGTTTCGAAACTTTTGGGGATAGCATTAAAGATCTCATCGAAAACTTATGGTAACTTGCCAAACAAAGGCTAAGAGAAAAAAAACAAAAGGCACAAATATAATTGGTACAACATTTGCAATTGGGTTAAAAAAAGCACATGTCTCGGGTAATTTAGCAAAAACAAAAACTACTCGAATAAAAAGCAGAATTAGTATAGATACAAATCCAACTAAAGATATTAAGCATTACAGACATTTTATTTTATTCACCAAAAACATGGGTATGAAAGTTTTGCACTAAGTTATTTGGGTTCAGCGAATTCGTCTTTATGGGTCTCAAGGCCTCCATATATTTCAAGTAGGCATTTCAAATAGATGCTCTAGGAAGATGCATAGCAATATTTTTGGGCGAAAGATTTGGAATCTCATTTTTTTTTTCTTTCTTTTGTGGACTTGCTAATTTGAAATGTAACAATTTGCAATGTTTAGCGCTATATAAATTGAACTTTTGTCTGGTTTGGGGTATTTTGAGCTTTATATCAATTGATTTTTTTTAATGTTTTTATTGCTTTTCCTAGTTATAATAAATGCAATCTTCCCAGTTATGTGTAGTAGTTTTTTCAATAGAAAGCTTTGAAGGTTTTATGTCTTTTTTTTGTATTTTTTTTTTTCGGTTTGAGGATAATATTTTGAGCATTATATAAACTTTAAAGGTATAATATTATTTTCGATCTTATTACCCATCCTATATTTTTTGCATTTTGTGATGTTTGATACAAAAAAAATAAAAATTAACGAAAAACAAATTTATTTGGACAAAAAATTATTTTACTTTTAAAAGGTGAAAAATATTTTTCAAATTGAAGTTCTATCAATGCTAGAACACTACTGCAACCACCATAACCAGCCCTACCACCTCCACCTTCCCACCATTCCACCACTAATACAATAACTAGTCAATTAGTATTCAAGGATGCAATAAAACTAAGATAAACAGTTTTTGCAAAAATTCGTTGTCGAGATTCTTTTTACCAATACTTTATTTTTATTTTTTTTTGCCAAAACAAACTGAGCACTCAACTACAAATGTTGCAAATGGTATATACATGTACAATACATATGATACTGGTCTGAACCCCATCCAGCCGCACAAGAATGATGAAACTTGCATCAATTGGTAGCTATCGATGGAACTGAATGACTCGATAACATGAACATCTACATTGACAAAGCTTTAAGTATGAGAGCGATGCAGTACAAAATGATAAATATATTACACAAATTATAATGCTATACCTGGACAAAATGATTCTCATTAACAAACCCAATAGCAATCTCACGCCGTTAAACTTGTGATATTGGCACTGATCGTAGGGGGGTAAATGTAAGGCATTGTTGTGCAGATAAGTGGTACAATACCACATTATAACAAGATGCAATAAGATGACCCATGTCAGGCATAGTCATCCAACGGTGATACTCTGGATTGGGCTCAAAGTATGATAGAATATGAGTCAGCTCTTTAATCCTGTCATGTGAACCATATAGATGAGTGTAATGGTCTATGTGTGTGTGCAATTCCTGGAGGAGATCACGCCTGACTTGACCCCATTCAACCTTTGTAAGCCCCATCAAGCCAATAATGGCCTAAACCCGCAATTGCCATCGGCATCTACATCGTTAATAAGACGTATGTACGGCTTCAATCCAACTGGAAGGGCATCAAAATATGAATAATTCGTAGTTGTACGAGTCTAATATACCTATTCAACAGGGAAGGTATCAACACATGAACAACAAAACACGTAATTTATCATCAACAAAAATGTAAGTAAAAAATAATTACATGTACCTTCTCTTTGGCAAGCTGTTTTTTATGTACTTTGACAGAATCCTGTGTGGGGATCTGGGTGCCCATAGGTGAGTGGCTATCATGTCCAGACTGAACCAACTCAAATGCACATGGGTCTCGACGCATAGATACATCTATCTTCTTATGTCCCTTACCTCAAGGGTTGGGCTTCACATCCGACTTAATGAGAAAAGTACTTTATGGATTTGCAATCTCTCTTAACTTATGCAGAATTTCCAACTGCATAGTGTAATCAGATGCATTGAATCGCTTAAGTATGAGATCAAACTTTGGTTCACAACTCAATTCCACTTTATCATTCTTTAACTTTTATACTAGCTCAAGAGTCCTCCAATGTGGGTTAATGCTATCAAATGGTATTAGACGACCCTGTTGGATGTAATTCGCAATCTCATGGGCACAAGGTTACCCGTGTGTTCGTCGAACAACATATCCACATACTAAAGCATTAATGCCAACATCATTCACTCGCTTACTCTCCGCTAAGACATGATCTAATGCAATTCTGGAGATATTGTCTCGGAGCTCTCTAAAATGAGATGGTTTGAACTGGTGTTGTACAATGGTTAAACTCTTCTCAAACGATGCCTTAATATCAATATGCTGCAACTCAAGCAAACTATGGATCTTGGGCCAAGAACACTCAAAAATGACTTGGTTAGAACCAAGTTGCCGTTTAAGTTTTGCATGTTCACTTTCAGCCCTGTGTACAATGGAAATAATTAACATAATTAAGTTTAAATAATCAAAATCATAATGACTAATAGTGTAAGATAGACAAATATATATTATTTGTTGGTTGTAACATTCCTAAAGTGCATACAACTATCTGTCTATACGGCAACAAACTTATCCTTATATGGATTTAACCAACTTTGTGGCACGTATTACACTGCGTAAGAATATGTATCAAAATCCGCAAGTAGCCTAGCAAGGTGTTCATTGTATTCAAGCTCAGTTAAGAACAGTATTAAGAAATTCCATAAAGAGATAAACTTGTCACATTCCTCTTTACTCTTAAACATTTTCTTGCATTTCGCCAATACATTTCTACCAATATGCCATCGGCATAATAAATGTCGAGATGCAGAAAATACACTGTCAATAGCATTCATCAAAGCAAGCTCCATGTCCATGACAATCACCTCAGGAATAGCAATGTCATCAAAGAGACTACGCAATGTAGTTAACACCAAAACGTAGTTATCAATCCGCTCAAATTAGAGATAGGCAAAGGCTACGAAGAATGACATATCAATGGATGTCACACTAACTATCTCAAGAAGAGGAAGATGATATCGATTTGTCTTATATGTGCAGTCCATGATCAACACCTTTGGAAATGAACGGAGCAAATCTAAACTGACAGGGTGTGCCCAAAACAAGTCTGTGGCAGTCATCGTGTTGTTGTCACACCTATGCCGCTTAATGTAATTATGCTTTTCTAATTCACCCAACAACTGTTGCATCTGTGCTTTCTCAATAACATTATTCCTATGACATACATTGTAAATGGTTTTCATAGTGGTTACATTCAAAGCATCATTTCGTTTCAAGGTAACCAAAATCTCTTTTGGTTTGACCATGCTTTTGGACAGATCCACTAATAATGATGTTTCCTCCTCAGATAATCTCACTACAAATAAATGTCCTTCAAAATGTTTAGTAGGAGCATGGTTATGCATTCCACATGCTACATCTACCATCCAATCATCATTAGCCATCAATTTACGAGCCATCAACTCAAAGGGGCACCTGCATTTCTTTGTACCCGTTATCTTTACAATTTTTTTGTTTGAATCATCTTCTTTTAATTTCTTATGAGCTCTGTATTGACCGCTTCTCTCACAGGCAAGAAATATCCTTGGTGTCCTATGACCACCACCATAGTCCGATGTCTTGATGACAATCACAAAACCTTTTTTTCTTCCAACATCCCATACCCAATTGAGCAATTCTTCTTTGTTCTTGAAAACCCACATATCAAATTAACCAAAGTCGTTAAACATGCGGGGAAAAAAAAAACTAATTTTCGATATGAGAGTACCTCATTAGTAGTAAATTGACTTATATAGTCAATAAGACACTCGGATCCAACATTACTACATTCCATCAATGCACAGTTCTGGAAAAGGCAAAAAAAAAAAATTATACTTGTCCGGCAATACAAAGTCGAACAAAGAACATATGTTCGACTATTGATAACCGAATAGATAGTTTGTGTTCGACACATAAAAACCGAAAATTGAATCAAGTTCGACAATAATAGATCGAACAAAACCAATTTGTACAACGATGGATAGTCGAACATATGAATAATATTCGACTCTGGATAACCGAACTAATACAAACAGTTTACCCCCTCACCAAGTACATGAAAACGAAAAAAAAATGAAAAAAAAAACCTTTTCCTTACTCCATTGTTCTAAATCAATGTTGCTAGATGCATTCATCATTCAATCCAATCAAAATCTTCAATAATATGCATATTTTTTATTTTTTCTTTCAAGGGTTTTGGGTTTTGTTTTAGGGCTTTTGGATTCTTGACAGACAAGATACATACCTAACATTTGAGAATAAAGATGTCTATTATAATCAGTATTGTCCTTTATGGTAATTATACAAATGGTGTGTATTATAACCTTTGTCCATTTTTACCCATTACATTCAATTGAGTGATTTTACCCTAAACCTAAACATATTCTTATCTCTCTCTCTCTCTCTCTCGCTCTCTCTTTCTCTCATATTTCTGTCATTGGCACACCATCTCCTCCTCTATCACCATATATGTCGCTCGGCTCAATCACTATTTTCATCTATCATTGTCAATAACACTCGCCTCAACCAACGTCGTCGTTCTCCTCCTCCCTCGCCTAACACCACCGCCATTCTCCCTCGTTGCCATTACCCCCCATCATTCATCTGCTAGCTTCAACACCGCAATCTTCCATCATCGATCTACCATTTTTGACATCGTCGTTGCCACCATCTTCTTCCATCACCGGTATGGGATGCAAAGTATCCAATTAGTGCATTGAAAGGTGTTGTTGATCTTCTACAAACGTGTAACTAATCTGATAAATTTGTTACTTAATTCAGTGATAAATTTATCACTCAGTAATTTATGAATGATAAATTTATCAGATTATAGATTTGTAGGTGTAACTGTGGGTATTTTATTAATGGAATGACAAAGCACATACAAAATAAATAAATTTATCAATGCTTCGTAATAGAATGTTGTGATGCCCCCCTCTCTCTCAAATTTAGTTTGCTATTTGTAAATTTTTTGTCAAATATAGCAGTGACAAATTCAACAGTGATAAATTTATCACTGCAACTTTGGTTGAGATTTGTTGCATAATAAATTTATCATTGAATCTGACTTTTGATTCTTTGTCTTGATTTATGACAGCGTAAAATGATGAGAATTATTCTATAGTAACGGCTTCTCATCTCTCTCATTCATTCTCTTCATTTTTTTCCCTCATTTTTTCTCATCACCACTGGATTTGTGTAGGTGGTTGCGGTAATGACATGTTGGAGATGAAAAATGGCCAAAAAAAATATTGTCGGAGGTCGGAGGTAGTTGCCGGGGGTCAGTAATGGTCGTGAAAGGTTAGAGGTGGTCACTGGTTGTCAGAAGTGGTGGTTGGTGGCCAAATCGTGGTTTGCAATTTGGAGTTCAAAACCAAAACGAGAAACCAAAAAAAAAAAAAAAAACAACAACAACAACAACAACAATAACAACAACAACAAAAACAAACAAACAAACAAACAAACAAACAAAACAAAACAAAACAAAGGTAAAAATGAGAAAGAAAAATATAATAAGACTTAATGGTGCAGAAAAATATAAGGCAATACTTAATAGGTAATAACTCAAAAAAGTAGGACCGATTGGTAGATTACCCAAATATTATCATCTTGTTAAGATTGAAAGTTATAAAAACAAATTTTGATTTTGTTTAATTTTTGTTAATATATGTCACAATATAATTGGTCTATAAATTAATTTTATATTCTTAAAATAAAATTTTAAAATTGGATTTTTCATTAAATTATGTTATTATAATTTAAATGAGATCAATATTCATTCCTTAAATTATGCATTCTTTATTAAATTATAAAATAAAATTTTTGATTTAAATTCTTTTTAAAATTATTTTAGTACAATTAGATTCAGATCAATGTTTTCATGTGGTATAATGATGCGTCATAGTATTATTGGTCTAAATGTAATTTGTTTTAAATACATATCTTCAAATTATTAATCTCTATTAAGAGTTTTATTTTTATTTTTAAATGTTTTTAGGGAAAGTTTACTTATAAATCTCATTTTGAAAAATGATGATCCATTTAGTCCCAAGAATTTTCTTATGGACCAATTAGTCCCATTAATTTTGGAAATATAGATTTAATATATTATTTAAAAATTAGATTTACGGTTATATCCTTATTTCTATTATATTTCCTTCTCTTTTTCTTTTTTTGTGCTAGAAAGACAATGTACACAATATATGATAACCAAATTTAGGATGAATTATTATATTAGAATTTTTTTTATTTGGAAAACATTTCAAAAGAAGTACAAAAATGACTTGAAATATGAAATTTCTCAAACATTTCAAAAGGAAGTGAGATTCTTCAAACATTTTAAAAGGAAGACAAAAACCACTTAGTAAACTTTAGACAAATGTATAATTTCAAACCTTAACACTCCAATATAACACTTAAACGTAACACTCCAATGTAATACTTTAAAAAAAAATTAGTGTACTTTTTCCAAATATAACACTAAAAAAAAAATTCTTAGTGTAATACTCCAACGTACCACAAAAAAAAAAAAAAAAAAAAAACCTCATTTGTGTACTTTTTCCAAACGTAACACTCCAATGTAATACTCTAAAAAAAGAATATAGGATTCTTCAAACCATTCCAAAAGGATGTGAGATTCTTCAAATCATTCCAAAAAGAGTACAAAAGTTTCTTAGTAAGTTTTGAGCAAATGTATAATTTCAAATTATGAGTGTTATGTTTGAAAAAATTACATTAAGGAATTTTTTAGTATTTTTATGTGTGTTACATTGGAGTGTTATGTTTAAAATTACATTGATTGGAGTGTTATGTTCGGGAAAAGTATACTTAGAAATTTTTTTTTATATTACATTGAAGTATTACGTTTGAAAAAAGTACACTAATAAGTTTTTTTGAAGTGTTACGTTGTTACGTTTGGAAAAAATGTACCAAGAAGTTTTTTAATGTGTTACAATGGAATCCTACATTAAAGTGTTACGTTATTGGAGTGCCACATTTTTGTTCATAATGTGGGATTTGTTCTAAGAGGGAAAATCTAAATCCTCTATAGTGCGGATTGTATAAATGTATAATTTTACATTTAAAGAAACACACTTTTATTCCTAAACCCAAACATATAAGTAACTACCCTTTTGTGTAATTTTTACTTTAATGAGACCTTTGGGTTCATAAGAAAAAAGAGAGGACTAAACCGTTCATAAGATCATATTTTGAGATTTATTTGTGCTTCACCCTTTTTTTAATACAATTTTTTTTTTTAACAAAAGACAAAAACATTTAGAAAATGAATAACTTTTTTAGAATTTGCTAAACATGATGGATCCTGTTTTTTTTTTTTTTTTTTAATCTCAGTTATCAATTAAACAAATAAAAAAAATGAACATATTTTTTGCTCAAATTGTTAAAAAAAAGTGACTTTTGGTAAAATAAAATAGAAAGAAACGTTAATTTTTTTTATTAAAAGTGATGGTTCGTGAAACTTCTTGATTAAAAAAAAAATGAGGGTTATAAGTAATAATTTATTGTTCATCTTAAAAAAAAAAAATTCAAATCAAATGAGAATATCATTCTAAATTTTCTTCTTACCCTTTTTTTTATTCAGACACTTTAATTTTGTAAAAAAAAGAAATTTTTATTGTATTTAAATATTTTATTGTAATTTTTAAATGGATAAATTACACTAACCTCTTTGAGGTTTCTAACAAATACAGGGACCTCCCCTGTAGTTTGAATAATTACACAAATCTCCCTTACTTTAATTGACATTGTCCAGATTTTCCCATTCCGTCAAATTGGAACAAACAGTGTTACTTGCATATAGTAAATGACCTTATTACCCTTCCTTTTGAGCACAAAAAGGCGATAATACCCATGCCCCCTCTGTTTACATTATACAGTAATTAAATTATGAATTATTTTTTAGGATTTATTACTCTTATTACTCTTGCTTTTTTGAATTTATTTTTAAAAAATATTAAAAAATATTTAAGTAAATTTTATTTTTTATTTTAAATATATAATTTTTATTTAAATATTTTGAATTTTTTTATTTTCAATATTTTAGTTTATTTTGTAAATATTTTAATTTTTTTAATTTTAATATTTTAAACTCAAAACACAACTCCACACTCAAATCGTAACCAAACACATAACTCAAAACTCAATTCAAAAATTATTTTCAAACCTCAGAAGCAAACATATAATTCGAAACTTCACACTACTTTCAAAACTCTACACTCAAATCGTAACCAAACACATAACTAACTTAAAATAAATTAATCCATTAAAAAATTGAAAGGCCTATTTAAAATAATTTTAAATTTATTTATTAAAAATTTAACAAGTTGACACATAAAAAAAAATATTTAAAAAAATATTTATAAAATAAAATAAAATATTTAAAATAAAAGACAATTTTTTTAAAAAATTAATGTTTAAAATATTTTTAAAAATACAGCACATAAATGTATGAAACATAGTGCACATTAAAATAAATAAATAAATATTTAAAATATAAAATATTTACCCTAAAAAAATAATTCCAAAAAATTTCAAAATAAAATTCAAAACTCTTTTCAAAACTTAATTCAAAACTCATAAACTCAAAATACAACTCCACACTTAAATCATGATTCTAAAAATAATTTTAAAAAATAAAATAAAA